TTCTTGTCTTGTTGTTGTCGTGGGATGTTGATTTCCCTTTTTCCTTTGAGAGTGTGAAAGAGTCTTTGAAGTTGATTTCTCTCTATGGCTTTTGAAATGATATATTACTGTATTCCGTTTCGAAAATGGTTTTGACTTATACTATCTATATATGCTATTTAACGTGTATTGATGGGTTACCAGCAATGTCCGCTGACCGGGTGTCATCCCCTATCTTTATGTTGCTTTACAGGTTTTGAGTAGCATCTTGGAGAGCGCGCTAGCAGTTCGTTAGTTAGTGTAGCTCCATGAGATTGTTTGTGTTAGAATTTTGGCCTGTGAGCCGTGGATTTTGATAAGTATGACTTATACGTTTGTTTAGACTTAGCATGTGCACCTATAGATGTGTAGGTGTGGCATAACCTCCTGTACTTGTCTTTTAGCTTCCGCTTTATTTTAATCTTGATGAGTAGACTTTATCTCTTTATTAAGCTTTAATTGGTTTTTAAAAGTTGTAAAAATCGGGGGTCACACACCTTCACATCAATCTAGTTTTCGTGAATTCATTATATCAGTATTATTGCACATTATGACACTCACAGTTTAACTCAAGTGCACACCCCGTCTTTTCATACACACACTAATTATGTAATTATGCACATTACGACACACACAGTTTAACCCAAGTGCACATCCTATTCTATCATATTAATCCGCTGTCCGTGAATTCATTATGTCATAATAATTGCCCAATATGGCACACAGAGTTCAACCTAAGTGCACACCAACATCTTTAACGTCTTTTCACATCAATCCTCCCAAATGCATGGGGAGTTGATCAAACATAATTTGGTGCCTCATTATTACCCCAAACTAGGTAGAGGAAAACATGTGTGAATTTACATAAATTTTAGTTTTGTACATGGATGTCGCCATTAATAATAAGAAAGAAAAAAACTTGCCCGCATGGGTAGCTCAACTGGTCATAGAGGTGAAACTTTGGAAGAATGACCAGGGATCGAGTCTCACCAGCGGCAGTGTGGGAGCAACCTCTCAAAGTGAGAGGGGGTTCCTTGTGCGCAGTGAGCACTGGTCTAGCTTCTGTGGTTCATGTTTAGTTGAGTCATGGGTCGGGGTGTGGGGGGCCCTTAGGGTTGGGGTTCAACTTCTTTTTGGAAGAAGAAATTTTTTCTTCTGGACGGAACTTGCCGTTAAGATAGAGACAGGAAACGATATGTATATTGATTCAAAACTCCAAAAGAATTTTTACTTTTTTCGCCACCTAAAATCATGAAAAGAGTCACATTATAATATTTCCTTTTATTTGGTTGCCATACAAAATTACATCAATATCTTTTATCGTTATTATTTTTTAATTTGGACATTAAATTGAAATATAATCTTGACCATTGATTAGGAGAAAATGGTTGGCTTGGATTAGTTCTTAGGTTCCTACCTAAGGATGAGTTCTTACTTGTATTACTTATATATAGATTAGGTATTATTTTTATAATTAAGGTATAATATTATTAAATTGAAATTATTTAAAATATATAGATCCACATTAAGAAAAATATTATTAATTTCGGATATTAAAACTATATATTTATATCAAAGGTGAAATTATAAATAATTAAATTTTAATGAGTTTACTTATTTCCTAAGTTATATATGGTTATTAATGAATATTTTTCTATATTAGATTATGCTTATATATGGTTTACCTGTATTAACCATCATTATATTAGATTACTATATAGGATAAATTATTGATTATTTTAATAAACTTATTATTAAATTTGAGCGATTAAATATTAATATTCAATTTGGTTCTATTATTTTCACACAATCTTCCTTATAAATTATTGATACTACCGATTATTTTCCATTTTCCATTTTTAAGGGAAATAATAAAAGTTTGGGCTGGAAACTACACGGGAGAATTTTAATTTTATTAACAGTATAGAAAATTTTAATTTCATTAGATTTTAAATAAATATTGCCATAATTATATGTAGTAATTTGTCATATATAAATTTTTTACTTTAATAATATTAATCATATGATAATCTATTCTATTAATAAAATAAAATAAAATCCTCCTTGCATAACACAAAGAGAACAATAAAAAACATATCAGATACTCGGTACTTAAAACACAACTTACAATATATTTTTAAAAGAACATTGAATGGAACAAATAATTCATACTCTAAAAACAAAAAAATATAAGAACATTGGTTTTTATAAGAATTTAATTACAGGAAATCAAGTTTATGTCAATAAAAGCAAAAAACGCTAAACGGTACTTTCAAGCATGCACATACAAAGATATTTTAATCTACTAGCCTTCAATTCTTTCTCAGAATCAGAAGAAGTATCTTCATCAGATGAAGAGGAACCGCTTTCCACCACCTTCTTCTGAAAAATATGAAGGTAAATTGTATTTATTTATTTAAGGTATAGGTGAAAATATGAGAATTATAAATTTGTAAGATTTTTCAAAAGAAAATTGTATTTATTTATTTAAGGTATTGGCATAATCAACTCATTATATTAATATTCATAATCAAGTCATTATATTAATATTCCTAATTAATCTTATTCCTAATTAATTCATAATATTGATATTACTAAATTGCCCTTAAGTTTGGGCGGGAAGTTAAAATGGAAAATTTTGTTTTTAATAATAGTATACACCACTATCGAGACCACCGAGAAGCTGCCTAGTCAACGTCGGTTATCACCACTCGACAAACACAGCCACGGTTGGAGCAGTCTTGCTAGACGAAAATGGAGGCTAAATTTCGGCCTATGCTTCTTCTCTTTCGGATTGCTTCTCTCCACTTATGGCGGAAGCATTTGCATGTAAAGAAGCCTTGTCATGGTTAAGGGATCGTGGAGAGCGCTCTATAGAATTACACATAGATTGCTTAACGGTTCAGCAATATCTATCTTCCACAGTTGGCCCAGTTCGCACATATATTGGATACGCTATTAATAGCTGCAAAACTTTTATATCGTCATTTAATTCTTGTTTAGTTAAATTTATTCCTAGATCAGAGAATTATTTAGCTCATACTCTAGATGCTTCAGCTTTTAGTCAGACTATTGTTATGTATTGGGATTCAATCCCACCTGATTCGATTTCAGCTTATTTTGAATAAATGACGCCATGGCTCCTTTTCAAAAAAAAATAAAATAATAATAAATAGAGTATAGATTATTAATAACTGATTCTTTTCCAAAATTTTTCTTATATTCATTAGATTAATAGTAAAATAACCACCTTGTAATTTTAATCTAAATTATTAATAACCGATTCTTTTCTTTTCTTTTATATTCTTTTTTTTTTTTTTTTTTTTTTTTTGCAAAATCTTTCTTATATTCATATTCATTCATTAGATTAATAGTAAAATAATGTGTAGAAATAATTTTAGAGATTATGGCTTCTTGAATTAAGGATTTTTTTTTTCTATTTATCCTTTTTTACTACTAACATTATTATTATGAAGTGTTTGTGCATGAAGTTAAAATGGAGGGCTCAATATGTGCACGGTGGACACGGGTCCAGGGCATAACGCTCCTATGTACTTGCAGTTGATAGTTTTTGTACCTATAGCTATCCTATTATGTGTCAGTAATTATCCAAAAATAACCTTTAGATTTTGTATCTATAGTGGACACATTTTGTCATGACCGAATTTTAGGGCGTGCAAGATGGGCAACATCACAGGGCCTCAATTTTTAGAGGGCTCAATATTTATTTTTGACGTAGCTACTTTAAAAAAAAAAAATCTACAATTAATCCTAAAACTCATCCATTTTTTCACAAATCACTGCTCTCCCCTAATAATTAGGACCTAATTAATTGAGCATGGCAAAATCATTCTGTTTCTCCAATGGCACATATGATGTCTCAAGTCTGGAATCTACAGAGATAACTTAAAACATGTACCATTCACCACCAATATCCCATGAGAAATTAATCCAACAACACCTTCATCTCACCTTCCACAAACTCATTATTGTCATCATATTCAATATCCACAAATTACAATGCCAATAATCACTGCCAATGCATCAAACACAATAATAGATATAGATTATTGGCACCAAGAATCCACTCTGCTGGAGATCACCTGGCAAATCATCGTCGGGGCTCAAGGCGATTGGTAAGTATGTTCCTTTTAGTTGCCCTAGTTTTAATTTAAATTGGATGTGAATTGAAGTATGAACTGTGATTTTTGCATTCAACTGGAGCTACACCGTTCATACTTATTTGAAGTAAAAATCATATATTTTACTGTATTGATTTTAAAAATTACGCTTATACTTTTGGTATGACCTCATTTATTTATAAGAACGGGGTCACAAAAATTCAAAAACTGGTCCTATATTCTGTATTTACAGTTGACAATTTCTGTACTTGTAGCTATAATATTATATGTTGGCAATTATCAAATTATTTGTTTACATATACAGAAACTGCTAACTGTAAGTACAGAATGTATTAATTAAAAGTACAAAATTTTCATATTAAGATTCACAGTGCAATATAAACTCTGGTCCATATTAATTGCTATAACACTTGTCTGCCGTGTCAACCGCACAAGTTCCCAAGTTCGAGGAGAAACCTGTGCACCATCTTCCGTTTGAGTCACGGATGATTCCCCCACAAGCTGCTCTGCCATCATCTCTAATTTGGAAATAGAGAATAGAAAACTAAAAAAAAAAAATGGAAGAAAGAAAATTCAAGAAAAAGAAATTAGAGTAAACAAAGTTTAAAAATTTTAATTAATTAGTTTTTGGACTATAAATACTTTGGTAATTATTGGCATTGTGTACTTGTGTTTCATTTGACCACCATTGATCATCTAACATGTGTCACTAGCTAACTATATGCCCATTTAAATACATAAATATTAAAACTTGAGAGATGGTGAATATAACCTAGATTACATAATATTCATAAGATGCTTTGAAATTTATAGTAAACATAAAACAATGGAGCACATTGCTAGGACTTTATGTAATCTTTCATAAAATTACACTTTTGCGTGGCTTCACATTCTATTCCTAAGTCCCGTGGTGTGCATTATGCAATGTGAACTTAACAAAAGGAACATTCTACAATATCGTATACCATTATTACATAATCATACATTGTGGTTAATAAGTTGCCCAGTGGTCTTGTTAGGTTAATTAAAAGAATGAGTCAAACCTAGCTAGCCGTCTAATTTAATTGATGGGAATAATCAAGATGGTTCAGCCCCCCGATTGCGTGTGAACTTTGTACAGTCAAATGGTCCAGCCTGATTGTTTTTCCTTCTCACCTGTAAACCAATACACATCACTATGTAAGGAAACTCTATAAATTATGATTATAAATCAAAGGAAGAAGCTAAGCATGGAAAATATGGGGAAAAAAAAAAATGTGAAGCTTCAGATAACTCTTTTTTGGGTGACAAGGGAAATCTACAGTCACTATTCAAAAGTGTGTACTAGGTAAATCCCGTCTTGTGACCCTAACCGGCAAAAGACACAAGGAAGTAAACCAGCCTAGGTTGCCTCCATGGCAAAAGACCACAAGGAGGTAAACCAACTTAGGTAGCTCATAACTGACCGTCTCAAACCAAGAGGATTGAAATTCGAACTCGTGACCTTGTGGTTACTAGTTTGTATCTTTAATCATCAGATAACTACCGGAAAGTGTGCACGGGGGTAAATCCCGTCTTGTGACTTTAGCCGGCAAAAGACCACAAGGAGGTACACCAGCCTAGGTTGTCCATAGTTGACCTGCTCAAACTAAGAGAGTTGAAATTTGAACTCGTGACCTTCTGGTTACAAATTTGTATCCTTAATCAACTTGGTTGGGGTTACCCTAATTTCAGATAACTTTTGTTTCCATGAATGATGATTTTGCGGCAATATGTGAGAATGGATGCTAGTAATAATAATTGATAATTAACATGAACTGATCAAGTGGTTGACTCGTCCAAATTTACTTGGTGATAGTTTCACAATTCTTCACAACTAAAGTGAACATTTTACTACATAAAAGTGTAAGCACATTGACATAAAAGTGTATTGTTCACATGAGAAGCACTATTCATGCGTGGGTGCTCTTTATTTTGGAATCTGGATAACTATTCTAAGAAATCTTCTTTATATTGAACTGTTATCTTTGAATAAAAACCATTAAAAGGAGTTCAGTGAGTAATGACATACCGGTGACCATGGACTTGGCTCGGGTAGAGATTTATCTGGGGGTGAATTTTGTACAGCACCACCTTTCATGGTTAAAATATCCTGTGAAAACAAAGTACAGTAATCATTAATCAACATACTAAACAACTTGGAAATTTTAACAGTGAAAAAGTCGGGAAACTTAGGATTGTTCAAACAAATTTCCCCATTTCAAGTTAGGTGAGAGAGGGTAGAGAAAACAGAGGCAATATAGTACAAATCACACCTTTTATGAGGGATGTGCAATGTGGTACATGTGACAATTTAGATCATCATTGAAATAAGAATTTACCTCTCCAGCTGCTTCAATAGCTGCCAACCATTCATCAGAAAATGGAACTGCATTCTGAGGGGGTATTACCGTAAGTTTACTTTTTGCCTTACCATCCTCAGGTCTCTTGCTGCCCAAATAAGAAAAGGAAAAAAAAAAAAAAACAGTTTGTTTATTACATATCCAAGGATAAAGGAGAAAGCTGCATGTACAGAAAGGGATTGAAATTATAATAAAAGAGAATCAGATTGATAATGTTACTTACATTGACAGAGTAGCATTCTCATTGTTTGTGAAACATTTGGCATTATCCAACTCAAGGCAAAGCTCACTAGCATGACTATTGATGGTTTCAGAGGTTTTCATTTCAGATTCATCTCCAAGAATATTCTGATCAAGTACTTCATTACTCCTTGATGACTCCTGTTCACTTTCAACCAGGTCTATGCAAGCAGCAGATTCTCTTGAAATACAATTTTTGCTTGTCTGTGGTGCGGAATCAATATCCAAACAGGCAGATTTTCCATTAGGCAGTGTATCTAAAAGTAACACACTGTTTGTAAGTTCACAATCTTCAGGCAAAGAATCATTTCCTACATAATCTGATGGTTTATCCTCAATACGTAAATCGGCATCAAATGAATCTATTTTAGTGTCAATTCCTCCCACGGTGGGCTCCAAATTTAAAGCACTTGAGCTTACAGCTTCACTTCTGCTGTCATCACTTAGTTGTGAAACGCAATCCAAGACTTGGTTTCTCTTGGATTCTTCATCAGATACAGTGCCTGTGCCTTGTCCAGGCAAGATGGGTTTATCTGACTGTTCTAATTTCTCAGCTGAGATGGCACTATAATGATGAATAGACAAAGCTGATGAAGTAAGAACTTTGCAGATTTCAGCAGATGTCTTTCCATCAAGAGACTGAGAATGTTCAACTTCCAAGAGTAACCCTTCACTTGAGCTCTTTGATATGTATTCAGAATGATTCTTCTGTCCTACACTCTCAGAGAAATTTACTCGTTCACATTTTTGGGAGTCTTCAAGCAACTCACTGTCATTTATCCTTACTATTTGAGTACCATTGTTAGGATTGTCATAACACTTGTCTATTTCCTTTGATGAAAAATCATTCTTTGCTACACACACATCATTGTTTAGTTTGATGCTTCCATTTAATGATTCAGGGGTTCCGGGAACCACTAACTTCAATGTTTGGTTAGATAAAGCAAATTTTAGATGCGGAGATGCTTTGTCAAAGATATCAGGACTCTCAACTGAATGGGAATCTTGGGCAGGATGCAGAAGTACATCATCATGGAAGACTTGTCCAGCAATCATAACAGTATCAATTTCAGCAACAATTCGGGCTCTTTGAACATCAAATTCATTATAATCAGTTGCATCTTTTCCATTTAGCTCAATAGATGAAACAGTCTTAGAAACCTTTTCTTCCTTGGCTTTCACAGCCCTTAAACACTTCCCTAAATCTCCTAAATCTGACTTAACACTTCCCTCATTTCTGGTAACATTTTCTTCTGAAGACTGAATATGTAAGTCCTCAGTTTGGAAAGCAGAGTTCTTAGTTTCTACTTTAGTACAGGTTAAACCTATGAGATTTGGATCTGCAGAATCTTGAGAACCATAATTCTGAAATTCTCTACTTAACTTGTTCAAGCAGTGCTCTGTTACTGTAGCATAGTTATGCCCACTAAGAATCCGATCAGCTTCAAATGCACATGACTTCTTATCAGATTGTTCCTCAGGTAAACCACCAACATCCTGATTACCACTTACGGGACAATTTGAAATCATCTCATCACCACCACATATATCCATATCCTCAGACCCGCTGTCAGAAAAAGAACCATCAAATGAGACTGTAGTTTCTGCTCTGAAGGTATCCATTGCATGTGTCAAACTGTTTTGCTGGGAGACTAATTGATAATCTTCCAAATCTGACCTACTAGAGCCTCTACTTCCTTGAGAACCAATGACCTTAGGATCATCTTTTTCCAAAGTCTGTCTACATTCTTCAGTATTTAGAAGTTCCTTGCCATTCATCCATGATTCTGTATCTTGTTGGGACCCAATTTTTTCATTTCTGACCTCCCCATGATCATTTACCTTTCCATCAACATCACTGACATTATGCTTTTCATTCTTATCACTTAAAAGCTTGGGATTCCCAGAATCACATCGAACCTTCAGCCTATTCTTTAGTGCATCATCATCATCCAAGCAGGCTTTGATTGCTTTTTGAGAATCAGATGCTCCAGAGCAACCCAACCTGGTGCTTATATTCCTACCATCCATTGTTGCTATGGTGTCATTGATTTTTTTACCTCCCACTGCATGCGGTGGCCTCAGATTACCAGATTTGTACAGCTTCTGTACACTAGACTCTGCATTTCTCTGTGATAGCCCATGTGTCTCAGAAGCTTTCGGCTGCACTTAAAGTTTTTATAGGGAAAAAGAAAAGATTAGATGGTTCGAATCACTCCATAGTGCTGGTTTGGCACAAGTTAATCTACTCCCAAAAAAAAAAAATTGCAAGAGCTGGCCAAACACTAAAAGAGTAAAGAAAAAAAAAAATTAAAAGAAAAACTGCTAAGCCTAGACAATAGAGAAAGCATCTTTTTTTTTTTTCGAGAAGCTCAGTACTTTTTTAAAAAGCTTTTTTTATTTCTTTTTTCAAACTCAGCCAAATGAGCACAGCATTTAACAAAGAGATGATTAACTTGATCAGACAATAGCAGTCATACCTGACGAAAAAATCCTAGTGATGGTGATGGCATTCGCAAACCTGATGGCTTTATTGTCTGGATTTGTGCGTGTTGCAAGCTCCGAACAGATGTAAAGGTGTTCTGCAGACGAGAAACAGCAGGTGGTGCAGATCCATCCTGGCCCTGGGATGAAGGTATGCTACTATATGCAGCCACAGGATCTGGTATCACCTTTAAACTGGTATTACCATTTTTTCTGATTGGTAACAAGGATGAAGAGTTTGATAGATTTAAGTTCAATGTTGATATGTCCTGTGCAAATTTGATTCAATGAAAGGTATTAGGAATTTCCTGGTAAGGTAACGGATAATATAGAATGCAAGGTAGGTTATCTTTAGCAATTTCTAGAATAATGAGTTAAAGACATGGTTTATACAGCATCTCCTTTCGGATGAGTGGCTAGAGATAAGTATGGTGGAATAGAACCATCCTTTGCCTTTTTTTGTCCATTTTCTGCATTTCTTAAGGAGCTCTTTAACCCATATTTTCTCTGGATACTGACTGCAACAAGGGCAAAGAGAATGTAAATACATGAGGGCGCAAGTTTTTAGTGCCTTATATAATTTGAAACAGCACACATGCTTATTGAAATTATCTTTATACTCTAAAACTAAAAGTATTCATTTCTTTTGACACAGATAGAGAAAAATCTAGACTTAACTAAAAACAAATGAAAACAGGTTGATGGAAAGTAACAGAGAAATAACCTGGATCAGAAATCTTTTTATTCTGCAAAGGACATGGTCCAGGCATTGTACTCTTGGAAGTTGTAGTCATCGAACATGAACCTGGCTTTGAAACTTGAAACTTCGGTAGTTTAGATTCCTTGGTTGCAGCTTTACTGACATTTATATTTGCAGGCCTTTTTAATGTGCAAACCATTAAGGTTACTCAAAAGCTTCAAACTTGGATGAAATAAAAACTAATCAATTTGGGGATAGAAATAATTGAAAGGATATGATGTTGAAAACAAAGGTCTAGGACAGACACCACCCATAGAGCTAGTTCTTCCATTTGGAGTTGCAAACACTTTACGTGAAGACTGGAAACACAAGTATTCCAGGGAAAAGGGAAACAAAAGCAGTAAGTTAGATTAAACTCATATTTGAATTAATAAATAAGACTTCCAATATTAGATCAGCATTAACAGTACAAGTTCTGAGCATGCTTCCCAAGCTCATGAATGTTAACCAAAAACATACCTTTTCCCTATCTTCTTTTGAAGATGTAGCTGACATTTCTTTGCATGTATTCTTTTTAATTGACTTCATTGAAGACGATGCAACATTTCTTAGAGACTTGCTAGATTGTGGGGTTTTCCTTTCTTCAATGGGAGACAAGCCCCCTCCATTGATCATAGATAGTTCTATTGGATCCAATACACCTAAGGGAACCAAACAAAAAAACAAGTAAATAAATAACCAGAAGTTTGGGAGCAGTGACTTAATAATACAAAACAGAACCACCTTCTTCAGTAAAAAAGGCTTTATTCCATGCTAAACTTTTCCTCAAGTTGTAACCACCAGTCTTTTTCCTCTTCATTTTCAGTGGCTCCATACTCAACTTTTGTACTTCTGATTTGCTTGTACTTAAATTCTCTTTGTTGCTGCTATCCTTAAAAAAAGAACAACTTGGAGTTTCTGGGACTGTACTAACCTTCAAGGCCGCTGTAGAATGGTGAAATGAACAATTAATTCCCAATTAAAGGTCTAAATAATTTCAAGCCTCAGATAATAGGCTATAGCAGTTTTCAATTTTAAATGTTTTGCATTGGCTATTTTGTTTCCTGTTAAAGTACAGCACACGCACTTATCCTAGCTGAAACTAAATTGATTATCCATAAAATGAATCAGTCAAAATTCAACTGCATCTTAGAATAAAATGTGATTCAATCAGGTACAAGCTGCTAAAATCAAAACATAAAAACCTTGGAGAACACCATTGAACAAGAAAACGCACAAAAATCTAGAAACTGATGATAGTACATTACATTGAGACAATTCATTCAGATAATCACATGAAATGAACAGTAAACAGGAAATTCAAATAAATCAGAGTAAACCCCTAACTGGTTTGCAATGCGAATCAACATATAACGGAAACCATAGAAGCACGCAAAAAATCAACCCTGGATATATAATTTAGCATAAATAGAATAAGAAAACGCGATGAGGAACTGACTAATAGGAGAAGTGAAAGTAGATTTGGAGCAGAGATCTTTGGGTGTGGCATCCAGCTCGGGGTTGCGTGGGAGCTGGGAATCGTCGTCTCCAGAAATTTCAGAGACTGAGAGATCCGACTCCATTCTCCCTCTCTATCTCTCACTCTCTCTCTCTCTCTCTGTATATATATGCGTGTGTAGAGCTGTGTACTGACAGCTATGGATAAATGAGTGCCTGGCTGTCGGCACAAATGAGTAAACGTGAAAGGTTGAAGAATTACGAGAATGAAGAAAGGAAAAGGAGATATGGCGTTTTCCGGGTTGAGTTTGGGATAGCGGATCGGATCGGGTCTTTAAAAATTACGGGCGGGAAATGGGAAATGATAGACAGGGAGACACGTGACGACGTTACAAAAGAAGATTCAAATCCGTGCCCACAAGAAGATTCAAATCTAGTTTTGGCGTTTCGTGTTAGCGATGAGTATTGTTCTTTCATTTATTCATTTATTACTCTGTATTATTCTTCCCAATAATCTAAATCTAAAAACATAATAAATGTCAATACAAGTTATGTCCTTGATTTTTATTCCTTTTTTATATGCTAATAAATATATACATTTTACTTTAATTGTTGTACATTCATTTGCATTGGACAAAATCACCCTTACACCGTTATAACACCGTTAGTTTTTAATATATCTACTAATCTTACCATACACCTACATCTATCATATCTTTTTCCTATTTTTAATTGTCATTTTATTAAAATTATCATATAACAATTAATTTAATTATAAATTATATTTTAATTAAATGTTTATATGAATGCTAAATTATATATGTGTATCATATATATATATATATATATATATATATATATATATATATATATATGTATATTATTTGTGTATCCATATCAATATATCATATATGTTAGTGTTAGCTTAGTATTATTTATAAATTATTATTATATAAAAATATATTTATTTTTTTGTTTTGATCACTATATTATTCAAATATATGATAATTCAAAAGTATCATCACTTTAAGAAATTGCAAAACATAATTTTATTAATTTTGTAAATTTTGTTACTTGCAAATATTTTAATATTGGGCATAAGTTTTCGCGCATCGTGCATACAAAATGCTAGTAATAATAATAATAATAATAATAATAATAATAATAATAATAATAATAATAATAATAATAATAATAATAATAATAATAATAATAATTATTATTATTATTATTATTATTATTATTATTATTATTATTAATGGATGGATGGGATATTAGGACCCTGATGGCCAGTCTTGTAGTAGTCAGTCATGGAGTTTTGATAGAGTGCTCGACACCGAACCCTCATGCAATGTATGAAGTAGGCTCGCACGCATATATATTTAAGGGAGATAGATGTGCAAATTAAAGTCATCAAAGGAGGTTGGCGGGACAGCTAAAAAGCTCGCCAAATTGCCGGGTCATAACATTTAGAGCCAGCCCCGCCTTTTTTACTGAGGGGGGCTAAGTTTGTTTTTACTGTTCTAGTGCAAATTTAAGGGCATTAATGACTAAAATTTTTAGAGATTTTTTGCTTTAGTGGAGTACTTTCCTTTTTTGAATTAGAAAGGTGATCTATTATTTTAGAAAGTTTGTTAGCGGCAAATTTAGAACATGAGATTTGTAGCATTTATTAGGAATATTTCTTTCCTTATTTGACTGAACACCTCTTGTATAAATACCCTCCAGCAAATTTGGGACATGATTGACAGGAGATTTGTAGCATTTATTAGGGATATTTCTTTCCTTATTTGACTAAACAATTCTTGTATAAATACCCTAAAAAAAAGGGAGAGGAAGGGTTTTTGATTTTTTGCAAGTTCAATTCAATGCAATAAGATAATTATGTTACTCTAGGTTGTGTTTTAAGTCGTTATTGTTTTAATTGATTGTATTGGCTAGCTGGCGACTGGTCAAAAGTCGTAAAACCAACAATTATTATTAGGCTAAAGTGGCATCCTGCACCATGTACCATTCTTAATTATTCATGTCGCACCATGATCTTTAATAATGGATATTTCGAGCCATAAACCAATTTTTTTTCGCCTAGACTTTTTTGTAGGTTTTCTAGTAAACACTATGACATGGCGCCAGTTTCCTGCTGATTTGGACTTATTTGTTAGTGACGTGACTTTAATTAAATGAGATGGAGTCCATGTAAGCTTAATTAAATTAAAAAAAAAAAAAAAGAGTTGGTCGACCCTATTTCGAATTCCCAAATACTACTGTCTGAATTCCCCCTAATTAGCGAAATCGACGACTGCACCTAAACCCTATTGTCTGAATTCGACGACTACACCCTAATTCGACCTATTGTCTGAATCCCCCGAAGACGACTGCACCTAATTCGACGACGATTAAATCCCTAGTTGGACGACTGGACACCCCCGGAGTCTGGATCCCCAGGCTGAAGTCGGTGACTAAGGTACTGTGGATATAGGCCCTGTTTGGTAAAATGGCTGTTAGTTGATAGCTGTTAGTTGTTAGCTGATTGTGTTAATTAGAAGGTATAAATAGTCGATAACATTAGCTGATTGTAGAAAAGTGTTTGGTAAATTAGCTGTTAGCCGATAGCTGTTTGGCATAATTTCTTTTCTCAAAAAGCTAATTGAAAAAGTTGTTTGGAGTAGCATTTTGAATTTTAGCCTTTTGGAGTTGCAAAAAGCTAATTAACCAAACAGTTATATTGATATTTTAACTAAATCAAACAATTAATAGTGATCAAATAAGCCAAAATTGGCCTATAGGCCAATTTTTTACCAAACAGGGCCATAATCTTTTAGTTCATATGTTGTAAACTGTGAATACAGACTCCTTATATTCATATGTTGTTTACTGTGAAGTGTGAATACAGACTCCAATAACAAATAAATAAATAGAGTTGATGTAGTGTGGTCCTGCTGTGAATAATATATGCATATGATGTTGATGTTCTGTGGTGTGGTCCTACTTTGAATATTTTTTTTAATACTTTTGATACAGTGGGGTCAGCTGTCTTTATCTTTTTTGAATATGTGTGTATAAATGTGGTACTGCATAGTATTTTGCAGGCTTATTTTTGTGAGTTTGTTGTGTATAAAGTCATAAAGTGTGGTATGTGGTCCTTGCTTTTATGTTTGTAATTGTGGTCCTGCATAGTTTTTGGTAGGCTTATTGAATATGTTTGGCTCTTTTTGTCAGGATGAATGACTATGTGGAATTAATAATTCACCATGGTAGTAATTTTGTGAAAAGACCTAGGCTACAATATTTAAATGGTTAGACTGAGGTAGTGCATTTGGACCTAGACTTTATATGTTATCCCCATTTACTCAAATATATAACTAACCAAATATATGGGAAAATAGCCTCACTTACATACAAGTTGACCTCTGAATCCTTTGAAACTTTAAAACTATTACACAATGATGTTAGTAGTTTACACTTAGCTCATATTGCTAGTCAACATGAAAAGTGTGAGATTTATGTTGAACATGGAGTAGGTGATCTTGAAGTAGTTGGTTTATGTTTACCGGGGCCTAAAGGGGGTGAAGATCAAGCTGAGGATGAGGTTGAGGAAGAATTAGGGGGTGAGCATGGGGGAGTGAAGTTGAGGGAGATGCTGAAATTGGGAGTGAAGAAGGGACAAATGCTGATATTGGGAGTGAAATAGAAAGTGAAAGTGACAATAACATTGAGCAGGGTATTGGGAGTGATAGTGACCCAGAGAGGGAGCAGAACACTATTCCAAATCAGGGTAGGGATAAGAGAAAAAGAAGAACAATAGTAGATGAGTCAACTATACCCCAATATGTGCCAACATTAGATATTCCTTTACAAGATGCCCAAGACTCTGAGTATTATGATTCAGAACATCCACCTAGAGTCCAAGAAGATTTGCAAAATGATGAAGGGAATGAAGTCCAGTCAAAGTACAATGATAAGTACCCCAAGTTTAATCCTAAATCTAATCCACCAATTGTTGAATTAGGTATGTATTTTGATGACAATGTGCAATTCAAGCTTGGTATGATCAGTTATTGTAACACCCCGAAATTTTGAAACTTTTGAAGCTTATATAATAAAGGTGAAATCTCATTAATTCCCAAAACATAATACGAAGAGTACGGGGTGCTATGTCACACCTGAGCTAGAGAACTCAGGTGCACAGGCTAACTAACTATTATCCTCAATAATGTAACTACATAATCATGGCACGCAGGCCGAAAGGGAAATTAACTACTTCTACACTCCAAGGTTCTAGCGCGCTCCAGTGTCTACTCTTCTGTGCCTGAAAGCCAAATATATCTGTTCAGCGAGAGATGCTGGTAACCCACTCCAACGCGTTGAAATACGATACATATAGATATATACATAGATATACGAAACCATTTCGAAGCATGAAGATATATCCTAAGAGACTCTAGCTTTCAAAACAGGGAATAGACTCGACAGATAGGGATAAGCACAGTCAACAGTTATACCAAGCATATACAGTTTTCCAGTATAGAGAGCAGGCATGATAGATAGAAATAAGCACATAACCAAGCATATACAGTTGCTAGCATAAATCCAATAGTCACGTTCTTAAAACACACATAACAACATCTTATCCACTTCTCAACACATAAGCACACTTTGTTGGCGCCATAGGACCAATCGCATGCCCCTACATGAGGGTCAGCGCATATAGCTCTGACACGGCCCAGCAGCACCCTGCCCCGTATCGCAACACGGAGGGGTCGATCGCAACCGACCGATGAACCGCAGCTCATCATAGTTTGATCGCAACCAAACAGTGGACCGCAGCCCAAGAGTATGTCATCTGACCGCAGCCAGGAAATATGAACCGCAGCTCATGTAAAATGTTTGATCGCAACCAAACGGTGGACCGCAGCCCGAGAGTGTAAATCTGACCGCAGCAAGCTTCTGAACCGCAGCTCAGGAATAACCAATCCGATCGCAACCGAATTGGGGTATCATGCACACATAACACATAGCAAGCACATGCAACCCACATTAACACATTGGGAAGGGGGAGAAAACGTATAACAAAACCTATGCGTGATCCTTCACATACTAAGAATAATCTTAAGGGGTGCATACTTCTCTTACCTAGGTTAACAGGATACCAATTCAACTAGCATGCGATATATAAGACTCATACAACCTACGAATGGTACCCGAAATATCAAACTAGACATAGGCACGATAGACGGAGTCCGTTGGGACACCACGGGGGTCGGGGGAACATCAAACGGGGAAGCCGAAATCCCGATGTAGGGTATTTTCCAGCGGGTAGCTGGTGGGTGAGGGTTCACCCGCCAGCTGCCC